ACTACCTTTCTTTTTCCCATCAGTTTTAGAGTTGTACTCACTGCTGTAACCATCAATTTTGTATAGATCTTTATTTTCCTCATTAATGTTTGTTTCAGCTAGCGCAATAACTGCAAATTTCTCATCATATTGACTCATATCAGTAATAAAGCTGTCAAAGTTAGATGCGTTCCCATCAATGTTGTTAAACACAATAGATATAAACGGCTTGTTATGGTTAAGTATGTTTTTTGACAGCCGGTTGAAATTTGTCATGTTATAATACCTACAGTCTTTTAGAATGTTTGAAATAGTCTCCATATCCTCGTCTCTTTCTACAGTGTTGGGATCATATTTGTCATAAATAATTGAGTTAAAAGGATTGTACCTTTGGGATTTGAAGGCGTAACACTGACTGCAGTGCCACATTTGTTTAACATGATCAAATTTAAAACTCTGTTCAGAACATTTGGCATGATATATTGTATCGCAACTCTCACATATTATGATTTTATGATGGCTTAGTACATTGCTATCACAACCTGGACATCTCTCTCTTGTAATATTGAAGTTTATTGAGGTCATATCGGTAAGATATCACCCCTACTACCCCTACTTAGGGCACTCCTATAGTCACCATTTCCACCTTTAAATCTTTCCGTGGACTGACTTCCACCACGTTGTACAATACACCGTTTTATGTTCATACAGAATATTTTCAGGCCTTCTCTCCCGAGATGAACAACATCATTGACCAATGGTGTGCCATCACGTGAGAATCTACCATACTTAGAGGGCATACATCCGTTAACAGAACCTAGTACAGAGTTATCTATAATAAACATGTTTTTCCTATTATAAACCATGTCGACAATTAAACTGTTTAACTCCCCTATACGTGAGTTAACAAACTGTGATTTGGTGGGCAAGAGTAAACTAATATGAACTTTACTATTAGGATAAAATTGCTGAATTTCACAACATTTCTTCTTAAGCTTAGCAATAAGTGTTCTAGTGGATGGTCTGTTGGAATCATCTCGAATATCATTGATTCCCGTATGTATAACAATGTTCCGAAAGGGGCCTATGTCTTTGGGAGCAGGAATATCGTCGATTTTAGCAGCCCACATTCGCTTACCGGGAACCCATTTTCCTAGAGTTCCAACATCTTTACCAAATTTAATGTACTTAGTGTTTGAGTCTCCAATTAACACTGTGCTATTTTTGTAGAAAGGCGCAATATGCCTAAAGGTAAAGCTGTACCTCACAGAAGTTTTCTCTTCAGATTCCTCGCCATCTTCTTCATTAGCGAGGGGTTCAATACCATGATTCCAGATTTCCTGGGACATTCTGGACATCACGTATACACTTCCATCTTTGAGCTTTAAGGACTTTTCAGTCGACTTATGTGTGAACTTTATTGTGCGTTCTTCACCAAGGGACACAGTGACTATTATCGATTCTGGGTCAATAAGAACCTCATTGTCGCAGTGTTGGGGGATATGGCTACTATTGCCTGTATATCTTGTAACAAGGCAAGAGTTCAGCCAGCTCTTCCTATTGGGGAGAGAGGGACGCACACAGTCCAAAAGATCTTGTATCTCCGGTGGAGTTTCCTTTGCCTGATGATAGGCTCCTGTGTACCAGTATCCATGTTCACCAAAGTAGACAACATCCCTGCTGCCACCAACCGAAGAAAAATCCGCACTATTGTCCTCCAGCAGCTTTATAAGTTTGCTGTGAAGCTCAACAGGCACTATATCTTCCTGATAAGTTAGATAAGGGTCACATGCAGGGCCTTCAGGAATTTGAGATGCAGCTAAGTGAGGAGAAGTAGTGTTAGGGGTCATAAGGATAGATTCATTGTGAGGTAGTTCACCTTCATCAAAGTTCTGTGTGGACGTTGAGGGACATACATGATCATTGATCTTTTCCAATTGCACTTTGATCTGGGTCATCAGGTTGTCAACATGATCGAAAGTACTGCTGTTAGTCGGAGGTTGCTCTGTCATAGGTATATTTTTGAGAGAGTCCTTCAGGCCATCAATCTCCTGTTTGAGAGAGTTGCTGGTTGTCTCAAGAGCTGAGCCACTCTCCTTTACTTTCGTAAGTACACCCTTGATAGAAGCTATGTCTTCAGTGATATCTTCAATTCCAGTCACTAATCGTTCTGTTCTTTTGGAGTGTTCTTTGAAACTGTCCTCCTTGAGTATGAGGTGTTTGATATGCTCGTTAAAGAACTCTATGGTTGTTGTGCTTTCTTTGAGTTCCTCGTTACACTTTGATATCTTAGAAATATTGCTAAAGAATTCTGTTAACGCTTTGGATTTTTCCTCCTCCTTCAATCTTCTTGTGTAAGGAAAGATAAAGCAGTCCGGGCACTTCCAGGAAGTGCTGAGCTTCTTTAGAGAAGTTGCTGTGAGGCCAGCAAGGTTAACACAGTTAGAATGGAAGGTCTGCTTACAAGTAACACATAAGATTGCAGGGTTCTTTGACTCTACAAAGCAGGGACACTTAGAGAGTAGCGTGCCTGGGATCGATGCTGGTTCGTTGCTCTCTACATCTACAAAGTCTCCATCAGATGTTAGATCTGCATCTGGCTCTGTGTTCCTATTATGTATTCTGCTAGTGACTTTTCGGCTTAAAACAGGGCTTGCAATAGGGGTGGATCCAGCTGACTTGCACCCTCGAGACATGGAATTAAAGAGGTCCGATCTCCTGTCGAGTTTCTTGTCGGTCTTTTTCATGATGATAATGGATGCGGAGTACAGGGGTGAGCGGAGGGGGCCAGGGTCAGACCCATCGAACCAGACCAGTAAACCTGAAACAAGCTAGGCGGCAGTGAGATGAGTAACATAAATTTATCAGTGATCACGTTAAGCTTAGCAGGAATCACCAGTATATTTAAGGCTAGTTAATGAGTTATTAAGTACGATTGTTGATTGAAAATGAATAAAGTATATCGAAACGTCAATTGTTTTGGATGAGATGTAAAATGGAGTGAATGTGCAATGAGGGGGAAGGGGCTGGGGTAAGGATCGGAGGGGTTGGGGTAAGGAAGGGCTACCAATTCAAATTCAATGTAAATTTTCAACTTTATCAATAAACAATCCCACACAAATATTAGTTAGAATCTCAAATCTGAATGAATGTACACATATAAAGGGTAAATAGTCTGCGGGTATTATATATAAATTTTTTAATAAAAAATGTGTGGGGAGGCAGATAACAGGGGAAAAAATGGGGAGAGGGATTTTGCAAGACTGCAGGTGGATATCTTTACTTTTTAGATTTCCATTGAATAACTGTCTTGGGTTAAATAATCTTCTCACTCTAACACGAATAGGACAGCATAATGATAAAAGCACAGCTAAACCTCAAGTGCAATTTTAAACATTTAAAAATTAATATTCATCTGTTAATACTTTTAGAGTTATGACAATCAAAGATATCAGTATAAATTTAAAGTATAATTTAAATTTGAATTTGTCATACATTAAATGAGCAATAAAGTAATTACATATCAATACGTTTTAGTAAATTTGCTATTTGCAGTGGTTCACAAAACCATTACTTATAATAACTGCTATTTTATTGAGGCTCTTCTATTTCAAGTGCAGACCGTAGTCACCATACATTTCAACACTACATACAGCAGTATCATATATATACAAATATTTAAGGATATCCAGACTGTAGCCAAGCAAGTTCGCAGGGTTAAAAGTAGGGTCAGGGTAGGGTCACGTGGACGTGGATTTGAATGATGATGTTTATGGCGGTGCTGATGCTGATTGTAGAAAAATGATAATTACTCAACTTGCTTCAGGAGTCCATGGCTAGTCTTCTGAGTACACGACCCGGCCACCCCGCATCACCCCCACACACCTTTTCCAATTAGTGCTGCATTACTTGCGAACTTGCTTGACTGACATTCTTTTTCGACATCCTCAAATTATTTGTTATATAGTAGTGTTGAAAGTATTATTTTACTTAATCAGTTGTAGGAGAAGAGAAAGCTTAACATCAAATTTGGTGGCTTTATTTTGTTTTGATTTTAATAGGTCCTAGTAGTATGTAGTATTTATTCCTATTGTCTTAAAGTTTTAAGAGAACTCGGCTTAAATTATTTTAATGCAGTCACTCAGTTAAGTTTTATACCAGGACACATTAAACTTTCAGGATATTGATTCAGGATATTGATTGCTCAAAAAATGTAGGAGAAGATAGATTTTTAGACTCAATTAACAGAATTTGCGATTGAAAATCGCTCGCGCAATACAATTACACACAAGCGCTGACCTTAGACTGGCGATAATTTCGGCTAGGAACGATATTTTTCCATGGGACCAAAAGCAGCTGGTAGATATCATTCCCTTCTACCAGAAACAACTATAAAGTCAATTTCGAGAGAATTTTGATTATGAAGACCCCCCCCCTGGCACCCCCCCCCCCCGGCCCCCTCAACAAAGACACATACTCTGCCCACAATAAGGGGTTATAATTGTTTCAATGTGTAACTATATAGAATTATTATTATTATTATCCTGCAGTAAACTGTAAACTATAGTTATGAATAGTATTGAATATTCATGTAAATTTATTAAATTTATTAAAGTATTAACAATACCAAAGTTCGAATGATCTTAAATTAAATTTTGACTGCGGATCATTCTATTAAGTTAATTCAATTTGGAATTGAAAGACCACACTAGAGTCTACCTGAATGTCTACCATCAGCTTGGTTGTGCTTCTTGGATACTGTCTAGTGCTGTTTGAGCTTCTAGAGAGATGTTTGGAAATGTTTGTGTTTATCTCTTATGTCAAAGTCACTTTGTTTTCAGTATTTTATTTACGCGAGGGTTTCCCGAGTTCGTGTTGTATCATCGCAGCTGGGTTCATCTGAGACTTCAGAATTCTGTAGAAAAATGTTTTGTTTTGCTGTTCTATAAAATTAGAGAACATTTTCGATTAAAAAAGTTAGCAGTTCAACCGAGTAATTATTCTAACGTAACATTTTTCATAGCCAAGGATTGTCCATCTTAGCTGAGTGAGTATTTGTTTTCTGTTTTTAAATTATCGCTATTATGCTGTTCTTGTGTGACATTTACTCATGCTAAAATGACATGCTTGTTGACGTTACTTGAATTATTGGTCGATGTAAAGTAGGCGTACGTTTATGTTTGTTGTTACTGAACCATATCTTTTCAGGTGCAAGACATTACTGATAACAGATAAGCTTCTACTATGAGAACCCTTACTTTATTGAGGTAATTATCACATCTTACAATACTCATTTCAATAATTATTGTGAAACGTGATTATCTTAGATCAAAAGTCTTTTCTGTGCATTTTAAGAGAACTAACTTAACTGTGGCACAAATAAAATACCTGGTTTTACCGATATTTACAAAATCGGCGGCGTATTTTTCCAATATTCCCTTGAGGATAGAAATAGGAGATCCTTTCGGCTCAGAAACTGGGAATTTTTCATCTCTGCGAGAATTTCCATCTTGAACACATCACTTTTTGATGATTATGACTAAACTTTAAATGTATTTATACACTTATAAGTGATGGAAATAAAATATGCTCCAACAAAAAATTGGCCTAGGAATAAAAACTTTAGGACCCAAAACTTGGACCACTATACTAAGTGGCACGTAAAAATCACAAAATAAATAATTTTTTTTGGTCTCTTGGCACAACTTCCTGCTAGTACCTTGAAAACGGAAACCCGTTCTCGGTCATGTACACTTGACACTAATACTACGTGGCGAACAATGCTCTCATCCTCAACAGAATGTTACAATTCAATTACATGTTCATTACAGTTCATGAATTAGCTCCATGAATTGGATAATATCCGGAATTTGATCATTAGAATATGATGTGATGTAACTCATATAACTGTTATAATGATTTAAACTAATAACTGATATTATTTTCAGAAATGTCTACAGACCTCTCGTATTGAGGTGAGTCCTGATTCTATAATAAACAAGCTTATTTAATTAGCCGTAACTACAGCATGGCAAAGAATTTGCTCACCGATTCCAGGGCTTATAGCCCATAGCTGCCTCATTAGTCATTAACTGTATGAAATCAAATTGTGTTACCGAATAATATACGTGACTATTAAATGATAATCTCGTCCCATCTTACGTTTTGTACGTGATAAATACGACTTAAAAATGCGTATTTTTCGCATACAGTTAGATTATAGATATACTGTGTCTCTCTATTACACTGGGTATATCGATGTAATAGCCTCTTCTTTTCCCCCAAACTTAAAGTTAATTAGTTCGTTTTGTGCAAGAAATTTGATTTATCATAGCTCATATTTCTCATTTGCTGGTGATTTGAGTACATATTTCAATTTCCATCTTAACACGTGCAATGTGCATTTGAGGCCCTAATGAGACACTTGACAGGCTATTGAAGAGACTGTAGACACCGGGGATTGGGGTCATGGATTATATTACAAGGATGAAAAATTAATAGAAGTTTTATATTACAATCGTAATTATATTATTAAAAAACAATGTAATATTTGTATACGAATTGAAATAAAATGAAATAAAGCATTTTTATCCCGCTTATATCAACAATCCAAATAAAAAATAAAGATTGCCGATGTCAAAGCGGCTGGCCTCGCGATATAATCCAAAACTAGATACTCAATATATGAATATACTAGTAAAAAATATAAAAACCAAAAGTACTTATTTGACATTTTGAAAAAAATTTATCACACGGTAAAAACTTATGGACGTATATCACTCATTATTATGTATCACTCTCTAACATCTTGTCCTCACTACAAATATTACCACTTCTGATATAATTAGTGTGTTTTTTGTGTCTTCTTTGGCTATCTGTTTCATTTCCAAGACCAACCGCTGATGGATAGCTCGATCTTCAGGTGATCGATCTGGAGATATGAAAACAGTTTTGTGATCTTCACACAGTCTCAATTTTTTGGCATTTACTAATATCTGATGAACGGTACTAGAACTACCTAGCGAAACTTTGACTGGTCTCGTCTTGTCGGCTGATTTCCTCCCAACCCAGATAGCTGAAAAACGTGGTTTTTCATCAATCTGCTGAAAAAATCACGTCAACTTTATCGCACAGTTTCTCTTCTTCAGTCTCCTTCAAACCAAAGATGAGCACATTCCTACTGCGATCCTCTATATGTATAATATAATGAGAAGTTCAGTAATATTCGTTAATTTCATATTATATATTTCTAATTTCTATACCGTGCACCTTTCGTTTCCCCCGATTGGCCCGGTATATACTGTACTTATAAAGTTCTAAAATTCTCGAACGAACCTATAGCTATCGTTCTAGAACGTTTTATTGGTGACCAAAAAACCAAGAAATCACATTTCTTAATAAGTTCCAGAATAAACCTGTTGTTCTAGAACTAATTTCTGCGGCACTACTCTGGACAGTTAATCTAATAATACTCCGGTCTCCCACGAAATACCCGGTTTTTGTTTGTACCGCGACCGATAGATCTCTGACGGGAATGAGGTTTAGGATTAGATTTCTAATGAGATTGGAGGACTACACCGTGGTCGTCAGACAACCGAAATAATAATAAAAAACAGCGGTTAATATTCCAGAAACGTAGCTGTGTTCCCCACTTCTAGATCAAGGTAGCATGGTAGATACAGGTTAGCGGGCGTTTTGTATTTATACAAAACGCCCGCTGACCTTTATCTACATGTTAGCATATAACTACAAACTATAACTACAACTTGTTAGCATATAACTACAAACTATAACTACAACTTGTTAGCATATAACTACAAACTATAACTACAACTTGTTAGCATATAACTACAAACTATAACTACAACTTGTTAGCATATAACTACAAACTATACCTACAACATGTTAGCATATAACTACAAACTATAACTACAACTTGTTAGCATATAACTACAAACTATAACTACAACTTGTTAGCATATAACTACAAACTATAACTACAACTTGTTAGCATATAACTACAAACTATAACTACAACTTGTTAGCATATAACTACAAACTATACCTACAACATGTTAGCATATAACTACAAACTATAACTACAACTTGTTAGCATATAACTACAAACTATAACTACAACGGGGGGGAGCCAAGTGGATATTTGTAGATATTTGGATAATGTCATCCACTTTTTTCGTGAATTATCCATTACAATAATCTACAAATATCTACATTTATCTACAAAAAATGTATATCTCAAATATGTGCCCAGAAATTCTACTGAATTTTTGGAGATAAATGTATAAATTTGTAGAATTTGTAGAATTTTCGTGAATTATCCATTGACAATAATCTACAAATATCTACATTTATCTACAAAAAATGTAATCTCAAATATGTGCCCAGAAATTCTACTGAATTTTTGGAGATAAATGTATAAATTTGTAGAATGTCATCCACTTTGTTCGTGGATTATCCATTCTACATTAATCTACAAATGTCTACAAATATCCACTTGCCCCCCCCCCCCCCTACCACTTGTTAGCATATAACTACACAAACTATTCTGATTATATCTTATGAACTATGCATGCGGTACATTTACAGAGAAAGTGTGATGTTCAATGTACATAGTGCATATCTTGGTACATCACACTTTGCAATATTGCGAGGGTATTTAGGGAAAGTCAAGGTGGTGTTCCACTGAAAGGTGTTGATATAGGTACCACTATTAGGTGACACATTAGACCTTTTGTTGATAAACAATTTAACCTCAATTGTGTGTATAAATCATCTCTAGTGTAACTAAACACGTTCTGGACAACTAGTGGGCTGTGTACTGCAGTGTACAGTGTGCACAACCTTTCATGTGGGCGCGGAGGATTGCTTGATCAACATTTGTTAAAGCTTTGTTCCTGTTTAAAGGTTGTGTGCACTGTACACAGCCCGGTCTGTTCCTGTGTAAAGCTTATTGTTCTACGTAACATCCAATAAATAATATTACTAAATAATAAATAAATAAATAAAACAAAGGTTATCATTAGGCGCTTTAATTAAGGTTCGTCAGAATACGGTGAGCGCTGTGCAATTACACAGTGCATAGAAATTGATATTGTGTGGGGTTGACAGATATGTTTAAAATCGTTCACTTTCAGAGTCAGAGTAAGTATTAGCAGGGTTCATGTTGGTCATTAGGGTTACAAGGAATAAAAGCCCATTGAAATTATTACTATCGGCACACCGATTAGATACTTTATATGTTTTTCTAACGAATGAACGTTATATTTCCACCCGCTTAACTTGTTCTAATAAGTGTGAAAGCCATGATACCACTCTTATACTTTAACAAGTTGGGACGTATTTGAAGGAGATATGAATTGAACAAAAATTCAGAGTATATCAGGGGCCATCTTAAGTTGATTACTAAATAAATCACTGATGATTATATTTTCGTCTCATTTTCATGCGTAACCGGCAACTTAAATCTTACCACTATCTGCTGTTTCAGCGGACCATCTTTAAATTCTGTATTAAATTATTAACAGTCACACTGATATTCGACAGAATTAGGTTATAAACGGCTAGACCAGTTCCTTCTAGAACGATCGTGAAGACTCTCTCCTCTTCCAAAATGAGTATGTAAGGGGTTCTATGAGGGTTCATCGTGTGACCATGGGGTGACATCTTTCCGCGGTGAATAATTATGTCTCCATTCTTGGGAATATGTATGTGATTTTAGATGTTGGAGATTTGTAAGAAGTTACAGTGCCACTTACTACAAACATAAACTTCTTAAGTTAATCATAATATTACATTTCAAGATTCTAGAAGTTTATATCATAATATAATAGTTTATGTTATTATAGCATCCTTTACTAAATGTAATATTCATCTTACTTGTTACAGTATGAAAGGTTCTTAACTCAAGGCTGACCATGCTGAGAAATAACTTAAAATAAGGAAGCTTTCACCTATAGTTTCGTGGATGATCTTGAGATCAAGCCTATTATTTATAGAAATGTGGTAAACTGTATTGGATGGAATCTAAAGATCGGTTTAACAATGTTTATCAATTTCATATTTACGATCAGGGTTACAGTCTGGATAAAAACGATGATTAATATTCCGGTAATTTCTAAGAGTGGACGCTGCATTTCTACTGTTTTGTGTTGGAAGAAAAATTGGCCAAGGAATAAGAACTCTAGGCCCTAAAAATATAAAGGATTATTCTGGTAGTTACATTCCAAGCCATTAGGTTATGACCCTCGTCCCTCATAGTTGATAGTCAATATCTATTGTGTGAAGATTCAAAAAGATTCGAGAACTTTCTGTGGATTACTGTGAAAGCCAGCGCTAAGAACGTTTATTTAACCATTCATTTTATATGGAAGGTTCTCTTTTATTAGTATACGTATTACATCAAACAACCTTATTTATGTCAGATCCCTGGCCCTTATCTTTATTTATAATTTATCTTATTTGTATCTTTATCGGCTGAGTTATAAGCCAAAAATTTTGAGGATGAGAAGTTGCAGTGCCACTTACTATAAGTATTAACTTACTAACTTTCAGTGGATTACTGAGAAAGCCAGCGCTATGAAAATATATTTTTATCATTCATTTCTTGGAAAGCCCTCAAATAATACCTAATACCTGAAAAAAGTTATTTTTGTCAGATGCCTGGCTCTTATCTTTATTTATAATTTATCTTATTTTAATCTTTATCGGCTGAGTTATAAGCCAAAAATTTTGAGTTACAGTGCCACTTATTAATTTAATCATCATATTAAATTTCAAGATTCTAGAAGTTTATATTATATGTTATACAGTATAATTATAGCATCCTTTACAAAATATAATATCCATTTTACTTGCTACTTTATGAAAGGTTCTTTACTTGAAGCTGACCGCGCATAGAAATAACTTAAAATAACCAAGCATTCGCCTATTATTTCGTGGAAGAAGCTATGACATTAAAATATTCTAGACCGGACCATCTTTTTATGGAAGCTTCTCGAATATTAACTTATTATTTTCGGATCCCTAGTATCTTTATTGGCTGAGTTATGAGTCGAAAACCATACGGCCATATTTGGTAATAGATAAATTTGAAACTAAGCATTCACCTACTATTTCATGCATGGTCTTGAGATCAAGCTAGCATGTACGTGATTCTGTGCGGCTGGTTAGTGGCTGTGTATTTGTAATGATGCGGTCTGTACAATAAGTACAGTGTACAGTTTGTACTCTCCTCTGTGTGGAGACAGTGTAATCATACTTGGTATGAAGCTTATAAATAGTAATGTGGTAAGCTCTGTGCTCGTTCACTGTTAAACAATAACAAAGCAGATCACATGTGATGCTGGATGGAATCTAAAGATCAGTTCAACAATTTATACAGTCCATTTCTTATCTAGGATCAGGGTTAGAGTCTACAGAAGGGCTAATAAAAATCAAGATTATTATTCGGGTAATTAAATACAGGGGAATATTCCTGGATGAATATGTCCCACATGTCTAAAGAATGTTCCATATTATTACTCATTAGGTTATTGTGTAGCACGATTTATAGAACAATCGAAAATGTTCTAGAAGCTTCCTCGGGTCTGAGTGGCTGGCAGAGATAATACGTTCTAGTAGACACGCTTGTGGGACACTCTCAATGACTGCCTGGGGTATATAATAAATACAGGGCTATCACAACATGACTTATTAGTATTACTATGTGACCAGTTTGTTTTTATCTTTAGATCTGTAAGTGTTAAATAACTTATTTGTATTTATAATATATCTTAGTATCTTATCTTTATTAATTTATTTATGATGTGACGGTGTCATGTTATAATCCCTATAGTTACAAATTTAATGGTATTTGATGATAAGTGGGGTACATACTACACACAGCCATTTAGAGGGGTCCCCCTCCCCCATTAGAGTATATCTGGCGCTAAATTTCAATGCAAAGCTTCTTATCGAGCAGTGATATTCAAATTGTATTCACTGGGTTATAGCACAGAATTAATTAAAGATTTAGAGAAAACATTTGAAAAATTTTAAAAAAGTTTGAAATAAAAAATGAAAGATAAAAAACCAAGCCATACTTGGGAGTGTGGATATAGGTTCATCAACTTCCATCAATCGTATGTTAGATAGGCAGTTTTCTTTTTACTGGGTTTACTGGATAGAAAACCGGCCTCTACTATATATATATAGAAGAGTAGAATCAGTGATTTTCTGTTTGAACTTGTACAATATAGCTAAGAAGCAATAGTTATGTAAGCTTTGTGTTTGTGCGAGTTTATTGATTTAGTGCCAATATTATTTGTCCACATTCCTGTTTTATTCTCATTTATATTTTCCACAATATGAGAGAAATTGAATTATCACGTTTGACCGTCTCGTATGACGTATCCCGGTAAGGCAAGTTTATTTTGTCAGAAATATTAAATCTGCCATAAAACCAACCTTCTCCACGGTTGCCGCTGTTAACGGGACTAATGATAAACGGCAATTCGGTAATGTGGCAACGTACGGTTAACGCACGGTTACAGCACAGTTAAAGCACAGTTAAGGCACGGTTAAGGCACGGTTAAGGCACGGTTAAGGCACAAGGGTTACATAAGGCACGGTTAAGGCACGGTTAAGGCACAAGGGTTACATAAGGCACAGTTAAGGCACGGTTAAGGCACGGTTAAGGCACGGTTAAGGCACGGTTAAGGCACAAGGGTTACATAAGGCACGGTTAACGCACGGTTAACGCACGGTTAAACACTAATAATACAACCCTCAATGAACTGATCGTGCCCCTAAATGTAGCTCACACCCCATCCTTCCCAAGATTGCCTAAAGTCCAGGCCATCTGGTATTTCCCTCCTTCAAACTTTTCGTATCACTTTTATGTTTTAAATAATCCCCCTCCAGAGTCCAGACTGTGTTTGTTGGTTATCATACAATTCCATTTACTACGGTACAATTAATCGCTAATTGCATCCAAGATACCATACATACCATTCAATTTCATAACATTTGCATTTTGCGGTCATATGATCTGGTATCCAATCAACTATTCACGAACAACTGTTCGGCGAACAACTGTCCGGCGAACAGGGGTCGGGCTATCTGGATACTGGCACTGCCTAATGTAGATGGTACATATTTTGATGCTGGGTGGGGTGTTAAGAAGTTAAGATTCTATTCTATACAGCCAATTGTGACACTACCAGTACAGTACCAGTAGCAGCTGTAACTCGTAATTATCATCAAGAACAAGGGCTCTACCTTCGTGATTATACATACATATTATGTGCATTGTAAACGTCATATTATATTTGTAGTAGGTACCTTCACAGTTTACATGTTGTGTAATTGTTTACTATTATATCACTAATAGTGTTCATGGTATGATGACATAAAGGAACTGTACGTGATTAGCTAGCACCACAATTTAAAGACAGGTCATATTCAACTATCATAATAGTGCCACACCCACTGTAATGGACCACATTTTACGAAACTTTTAGGAAATCCAATTTTGACCCATAACTATTTTTTCTAACATTTGTGTGCAATACTGATACGAATTACGTGGGTTATTAAAGGGTTGCGCGTGGACAGTTACTTCTGGCCTACCCGGACCAAATCTAACAGTTTTAATACCGAATCAGCATGTTACAATTATCAGTTACAGAGCATCAATCCTGCACGATATGCAGATCTTATAAAGTCTACTTATCGTGCAACTACAATCAGCAGTTAAAACAACTTTCATTTTTACATGATGTAAACGATCTTTCCGATGCAACGTTTTAATTGTCCGATCATAATTAAAATAACAATCTTATCTAAAAGTGACGATTTTACTGCCATGCAGGCTGCAGTAATTTTTCTGCTGGGCAGTCAAATTTGAAAACTAAGGCCTGTACTTTTGATCAAGTTATATCCAGTGCTCGTATCCACTAGAGATGAAGTCTCTTAAATCCGCTCCAGCGAAGCTAAACCCGTCCTTGGCACATGTCCTGCCGAAGGCATCAAACCCGGGGAAACATTTAATATTTATACTGACAAGAGCATTATTTGGTGCCGGTATGGTTCCTCCTCTCCGCTTATTTTTCAGCCAGCAGTGTTGCCAGATTTCCTAAGTGTCAAGGACTTAAACTCTTTCGTGTCTCGGCAACACAGACGCCCAAGCTTTGTGAAAAGAAAGCCCAGTTTCGAATCATCGTGAACGTTGATTGTTGCGAATTCGGCTACACAAACCATATCCATAATAATATCCTGATAAGCCTGATAAGGTAAGTTGTGGTAATGGGCCGGTAATAGAATCATCTCGAATTACTGTCTTAGCTTTTTTTACAGTTAATTTGATTTGAATGTTAATTTTGTCGTCTGCCTTCAAGGAACCAAACCCTAACTCGATTATCGACTACGTGATGGTAACTGAGCGGCGCACGCGATCTCCGATCTTTATACAACTGTGAAAAGCGTGTAGATTTTTGGTCACGTGATAATCGCGCGCGCGCGCCTTTTAGCAAATTTACTTTATTTTAGCCACGTTTACGTCATTTTGAAGGATGCCCTATTCTACTCCGGTTTTAAAATAGTTTAAAACTTTGAGGGTCATCATTAGAAACCGCAAGCGCCAAGCAGTCTCTTCACTAGTCCAACCCTGTTGTCTCCAAAGATATAGTGTAGTTCTCGCTATATTGTGTAGATGAAATAAGAAAGGTAAAATAAAACCAACGCTATAATATTTCAACACTTCCCTTTGTGTTCAGTGAGCTGATGATCTTGCCACCAGCCACCTCACTCACAATATGGCGCAATGTGAACAAAACTAACCTACTACGTCATGTTCTATAATCTTACACCCTCATGGAACTTTCTAGGCCCTTGGGGCTTTGGCATAGCTGGTTCTTGAGGTTGCAACACATTTTGTGTCTGAGTTTTAAGTGTTCACTAAATTTCAATTACACTCAACAACAAAAACCCCTAATCATTTCATATTCAAAATAACATTTTCTTATAAATCGAATGAACATAGTCAACAAATTAGTCCAAGAGTAGCTCGGCTGGATAACTCCAGGGGAAACTGTCTGGAAAATCCTCCGTATCTCCAGATGCTTCAGGGTTCAGGACCTTGAAATCTGGGCTTATCATCGTCAAAGCAGGAATATAATTTCTCTCTGTCAATTTGTACATTTTAGCTCCAATGGTATCAATCTGATCCCATGGTAGTCGTATCCAGGGCATCTCCTTGAAGTACTTGTCAGCATCAGGCTCGTTGTGATCATGCGTCACCCAGATTACCTCCCAGTTCTTGTCCTCGTAAAGTCTGTTGTACAGCTTAACTAGCTTGGGAGTGTACTCTTGACATCCTCCACACCAGGAAGCAGAGAAGTATAGTCCGATGTATTTACCGGACAAATCAGCAAGGGTCACGTTCTTTCCAGCTCCATCAGTGTAGGTTGTATCCAGTAGATCTTTGATACTGGCCCCTCTTCGGGCCACTGCAACGCATAGAAGAGCAAGGAAGGTTAAAGTCTTCATCATTGTAAGAGATTATGAAACGAGATAGTAGGTAAGATATTTATATCAACATATGAATCGTAATTAAGTTCGCATTAAGAATTAGCGGACGCTTTGTAAGATCTCGTTAAGGCCGGCTCATCAAATTAACACTTTAATGTTGTCGACCGGGTTGACAAACTTATTTTTATCATTTTCGTGTTAATACGATCAAAATAATTCACAAGGTTAATTTTTAACACTTAAGGTTCACTTGTAATTCTGATTAGGACAGAGAAGTGCTAAACTACCCGCTTAATTAACGCATCTGTTGTGAGCTGACATTTCAGAAATACATAAACTTAATGTGACCGAGAGATTATACTAATTATGGAGTGGTTGAAGAATGAAGTGCTCACCCCAATGTCAAAAAGTTCGAGGCCAGGATCGATTCAGTTTGAAGATTTTATTAGTTTGATCCCATGTTTTTATAGACAGGGATAGAGTGCATAACGGACAAACTTAAAATCTTGAATGGTTTTGCTTGAATTTAGGTAACTGATAAATTCCATAAATTATGCGAATCGTGGTATAAATTTCAAAAATCTCGATCTGAAGAAGAAAACAATTTCGTTAATAAGTATTGACTGATTCCATTATTAGTAACATTCATTGAGATAAAACATACTTGGTTTCAATGGAAAGTAATAAAAGATCACTCTTGCCAAGGAAAATCTTCTGGTTGGAAGGTGATCAGGTCAGAGCACTCCGTGTTGATAACCTTGTAATTAGGATCGATCATAGTGACTGCTGGTATAAAATGCTGTTTAGAAAGTTTGAACATGCTCTTCCCACGTGTGGACTTTTCATTCCAATTAAGTCGTATCCAGGGCATATCCTTGAAGTCCTGGTCTGATGCTGCCTCAGTATGATCCTCCGAAATCCAGATTATCACCCAATTCTTGTCCTCGTGTATTTTATTGTAAACCTTCACCAGTTTCGGCGTGTACACTTCACAATTGTCGTACCAAGAAGCACAGAAATAAAGTCCGATGTATTTACCAGACAGATCTGCCAAAGTCACATTATTTCCTGCTTTGTCAGTGTAGGTTGTATCCAGTAGAGACTTGACATCAATACTGAGCACCCCGGTTAGGGCAACTACGAAACAGATTACAGTCTTCATCTTCAGTAATCAGCACTAAGCAAGTAGGAACCAGCCGGTTTTTTCTCCTTTTATATCAGACTTTTTGCCACTTTAGATCTTAGGTTTCAAAAATTTCTTTGTTATGCTCTAAAAGCCGCTCTCTAAATTAATTTATCATGCAATTAGTAAGTTGTGATTGTCAATCTGTCTTTGTGGTTTGATAAGCAAGTTGGCTTTAAGACCACATGTTTGAAAAAAGAGTTACTAGATTATCCTACAATGATCCTTTACTAACGTGTACATCATTCAGTGACGGCTGGTTGTTTAGTCAAGCATGTACTTTAATAAGATCATTATTATTTTTGAAAGCGTATTTGATCAACATTCGTCCATTATAATCATCCAACCCAAAACAATAAATATGCGTTGTGTATCAATAATGATAATGTAAGTTAAAACAGTGAATATTTTTCATTAATTTCAAAACAATCTTTTAAGTCAGCATTTTTCGGAGACTAAAATCACCTAGGCCAAGGAAAATCGTTCGGTGAGAAAGTAACTTGGTCAGAACACTCCGGGTTAATGACTTTGAAGTCAGGACCGATCATAGTCATAGCTGGAATGTATTTTTGTTTAGATAGTTTAAACATGCTCTTCCCGCGGGTACCCTTCTCGCTCCACCTGAGTCGGATCCAGGGCATTTCCTTGAAGTACTGGTCTGCTGGTCCTTCTTCGTGGTCCTCGGTAACCCAGATTATCTGCCAGTTCTTTTCCACGTGTATTTTATTGTAGACTTTCACCAGTTTTGGAGTATAAATTCGACAATTTCCACACCAGGAAGCAGAGAAGTATAGTCCAATGTATTTACCAGATAGATCAGCCAAGGTCACATTATTTCCTGCTCTGTCAGTGTAGGTTGTATCCAGTAGAGACTTGACATCAATACTGAGGACGCCGGTTAGGGCAAGTAGGAAACATATAACAACCTTCATCTTCAGTAGTCAGCTCTCAACAGGTAGAAATCAGCTGGTTTTCTACCCTCTTTATATCAGACCCTTTGTCACTTTAGAAAGTTTAGATCTTAGGTTTCTTTTGTCATGTTCTGAGACCCACTCTCTAAACCAATTTTTCATGCAATTAGTAAGTTATGATTGACATTCTGTCTTTGTGAAGAAAGTTCTCCTTGTGGAAATGGCCATATGCTTGATTAGTTTATCACAACAATCAGGACCTAATTTATGTTAAACCCTCACTACGATGATCAATGCTCGTTCAACGCTCCAAATGAAATGTTAAAAAATTTTAGATGACGATTAAAAACAGATTACTTGGGTTACTAAATTTCCAACCATCGACCACAATCTCTAACAACAATCTTCTAGCAACATGCTCATCACTTAGTAACGGCTAGATATTTAGGAAAACACAATATAACCACGGAAATTAAATTAAACATTCGTCAATTAGTATCCAATTAGTATTAACAATCAACAACAATTATTTTCAAATCAAATTCAAAACAATGTTCAATGACGGTATTTTTCAAAATTCAGATTTATGCCAAGGGAAACCATCTGGATCAGAGGTGATCAGGTCAGAGCACTCACGGTTGATTATCTTGAAGTTAGGACTAATCATAGTCATCGCTGGAATGTATTTCTGTCTAGTCAGTTTGAACATACTGTTTCCGCGGGTCTCCTTTTCACTCCAATTCAGCCGTATCCATGGCATCTCCTTAAAGTAGTCAGCAGCTGCATCCTCATCATGGTCCGCGGTAACCCAGATAATCACCCAGTTCTTATCAGCCTGAATCTTGTTGTAGATCTTCACCAATTGCGGGGTGTAAGCTTGACAGTCAGGACACCAGGAAGCAGAGTCGTAAAGTCCGATGTATTTACCAGATAGATCAGCCAAGGTCACATTATTTCCTGCTCTGTCAGTGTAGGTTGTATCCAGTAGAGACTTGACATCAATACTGAGGACGCCGGTTAGGGCAAGTAGGAAACATATAACAACCTTCATCTTCTGGAATTAGTAGTTAGCTGTTAAGAACGTGATTATTTTCTACAATTTTATCCGCGACTTCTTTGTCAAAGGATGGCTTCGTTTTCTTTTGTTATATTCTTAAAGCCACTCTCTAATTCAATTTTTAATACGATTAAAAGAATTCGTTGGAAAATCTGTCCTATTTACTCGATTAACACGGCTATTTATATAGAGTACGACCATATGCTGCAACAATTAAGATAAAAGTAGCCCATTTCGCTCAAGGAATGAGAGCAATATTGCAGATAAAAACGCTGCAATAGAATTCGATTGTGGAAAGGGTTTCAAAAAACATTATCCTCTGTCGTCAAACAAATACCGATGGCAACAGAATCAAAGAGCTGTAAGTGGTGCACTGTACCTTACTTCACAGTAATTTCTCTAACTACAAAAAATACAGCCAAGATATTGCGCGTATGAAACAAAGAAACAATTGTAATAGAATATTGGTGCACAGTTTCTTCACAGTAATTGTTATCTAACTAAGCTTACTAAGCTACTCAGATTACACATCAACTAATCATATTTTCTGATATCCGAGATAATGGGTATATTGTATAGTCAGTAGTCACGCGACCGACGTATGTAATATGTTAGAAGAGTGTCGGCTACCATACAGTAGATCTGAGTTGAACTTTAAGTAAACCTACCCACATAGTATTAGGATAACCCAGATGGTAATCTGATCTAATACTCGGGTGACCTGATTATAGACTTAACATAATATGGAATGTTGGTTTTTTCTAGGAGGATTTAACATTGGAGAATATAGAATTATAAACGTTCGATACATAGTACTATACAGTATACTTTCACTTCTCGTCACATGTTCTTCACCGCCTCATAAAGAGTAAAACAACCATTATTCAGTAATAAAAAATATGACATCCCCCCGCATAGTATGTTTGTGTTTCACTGATTTGTAAACTGAAGACGTAAATATCTCCATAAAATTCAAAAAACATAAACAGAAAGCATTATTTTCGTGGATATAAGTTAGACACGTGACCACGGGAACTGGTCTGGTTCGTACTCAATGTCCTCAGAGGCCTCAGGGTTGATAACCTTGAAGGTAGGATCTATCATGGTGATGGTAGGAATGAACTTCTGTTTCGTCAACTTGAACATGCTCTTTCCTCGTGTATCTATCTGATTCCATGGCAGTCTTATCCAGGGCATCTCCTTGAAGTACTTGTCAGCATCAGGCTCGTTGTGATCATGTGACACCCAGATTACCTCCCAGTTCTTGTCCTCGTGGATCTTGTTGTAGAGTTTAGCCAGCATGGGAGTGTATTTTCTACATCCACCACACCAGGAAGCGGAGAAATAAAGTCCGATGTATTTACCGGACAAATCAGCCAGGGTCACATTCTTTCCAGCTCCATCAGTGTAGGTTGTATCTAGTAGAGACTTGACATCAATACTGAGCACCCCGGTAAGGGCAACTACGAAACAGATTACAATCTTCATCTTGTTTGGAATAAGTTTCCTCAGCACGCTCCTCCTTCTTTTATACCCGGCCCTCAAGAACACTAAGTTAGAAAGTTAGGAACTACCTGCTGTCAAGTTGACCTGCTAATCTGTTTGTCAAGTTACCTCGTTAAGAAACGAGGTCTTCATTACTAAACAGTCAACATGTGTATTGTGATTTTAGACAACTTGTTTGCTGTAACCACTTAATTTGCTCCAGTAACAAACTCTAAATTAAATCTGTAAAAACTAAACGTACAAGATGAAATACAAAGGTTTACCTAACAAGTTTCTCCTCAGGCACTTAGTAATAATAAATCTCATGAAATTATCCTTTTATATATATATATATTAGCTGAGTTAACTTGTTTAATTTATTATTTTGTAGTTATAACATAATTCGATTGACAAGTAAGTTCACAAAATCCTGTTTCTTATGGAGCAGCTCTCTCGACTCAGGGAGATAATAACGATAAGAAAACTATATAACTCATTTTAAAAGTCGACTTCTAAGAAAACTAGATTTTGATAATAATTATCAATTTTTCTTTCGTCCTTCCATGGTGAGAACCCAGAATCATCTTCCACGGTCACTTTCTCGGCTCGGATCACGTTATCATACTGTCTGTCGAGAAGCTGAGAACAACCTTCTCACTGCTTCGCTAACGCAGCTTGTGTACATTTGTTTTCTGGCTATCCGTTTAATAGTTCCGAGAAAAGGAACCAAGTAAACACAATCTCTGACAGAATAGAACTATTGAAGAATGATAAAAAAAAAGGTGTTTGAAAAGAAATTATTCACAGAAATTATCTTAAAGAACTGAATGAACCAATAGCAAATTTGACTCCAAGCTCATCTTTTATTCATTAATTAAGGATGTGGAAAGATCATGTAAATGACATGATAGTCGATTAAACGATAAACTGATTCTGAACGTATTTGAATATGTTTTTATTGTATTGCGTGTTTAAAGTTTTTCAGAGTCCTTGGATCTCGCAAGAGATAGATGATGTAATAGTAACTGAAGAATTGTGGGAATTATTAACATAATTCGATTGACAAGTAAGATCTACAAATCCTGTTTCTTAATGGAGCACCTCTCGACTCTGCGAGATTTACTATCTATATAAGCCGTAAGCGCTATGCGAATACTATAAGTAACTGAAATGAAAGTGAACATTTCCAATTCTACGTTCTTTTCTTTTTTCAAATCAAATAGTTTATTCTTTTTCTTAAAACAAGTTTGATTCCGTCTTGCTTTCTACCCCCTGACTGATCTTTTCGCTCGGATCACAGTTATCATACTGTCTGTCGAAATGGCTGAGACACCTTCTGCTACTGCTTCGCTAACGCAGCTTGTGCCCATTTGTTTTTCCTGGCTATCTGTTATTAATAGATCCGAGAAAAGACAAGTAAACACAATCTCTTCGGACAAAAACCAAGGTGACATTCAATTTTTCCGACATTCTGCCTTTTTAAATGCCTAAAGACTAGAAGTCTATTTTGGATAAATGAATAAAATGATAAAAAGATAGGATAGAAAAAAAATTGAAAAGCAATGACTGAAAAAGAAAAGAGATAAAAAGAAAATTGTATAAGGGGTCAATGAAAGAATAAACTATTGAATGAATGAATAAAAGCGAAATTTGTTGAAAAGAAAATTTAGCAGAAATTAATGATCAATATCAAATTCGACCCCAAGCTAATCTTTATTCATTAATTTTAAGGATTTGGAAAGATCATGGTAAATGACATGATAGTTGATTTAAACGAGTAACTGGATTCTGAACGGATTTGAATAATATTCTTTTCTTTTCAAATCAAATAGTTTATTCTTTTTCTTAATACAATTTGATTTTCCGTCTCGCGTTCTACCCCCTGACTGATCTTTTTCGGCTTCGGATCACAGTTATCGACTGTCTGTCGAGATGGCTGAGACACCTTCTGCTACTCGCTTCGCTAACGACAGCTTGTGCACATTTGGTTTTTCTGGCTATCTGTTAATAGATCCGAGAAAAGACTAGTAAACTCAAGCCTCTTCGGACAAAAACCAAAGGGACATTCAATTTTTCCGACATTTCTGCCTTTTATGCTAGAGACTGAGAAGTCTATTTTGGATAAATAAATAAAATGATAAAAAGTATGATTGAAAAATAATTAAAAGAAATGACCGAAAAGAACGAATAAAAAGAAATTGTATAAATCAATGAATAAATCAATGAAAGAATAATCTATTGAAGAATTGATAAAAGAAAGTGGTTGAAAAGAAATTATTTAACCTGAAATTAGCTTAAAGAAATGAAATGTCAATATCAAATTTTGATCCAAGGCTTCAATCTTTTATTCATTTACGATATAAGGATGTTGGAAAGATAATGTAAATGACATGATAAGATTTAAACGATAACTGATTCCTGAATCGGATTAAATATGGTTTTATTGTATTGACGTGTTTTTAAAGGTTCTTCCAGAGGTTCGGGATCTCCGCAAGGATAGATTTTGTAAGTATTACTGAAGAAATGTGGGATATGCGGAATTAATTAAGATTGAATGATTTTTTTTTTTTTGTTTTATCGTTGTTAATAAGAAACCACCATTCAAAATTTTGGACTAGTAGTTCAGCTCATTTCCACAATCCACTATTAAACCTTATTAAAGTAAAGGTGTATAATTGAAAGTGAATGTACCTACCTAGAAGCTAAAGATCAGTTTTATATATAGAAATATAGTAAGGGCTGAGGTAACTTGTTTAATTTATTAATTTTACTATATTAACATAATTCATTGACAAAGTAAGAATCTACAAAATCCCTGTTCGAAATGGAGCACCTCTCGACTCAGAGAATTTAAAACTAGAAGCGCCTATAAAAGAAACTAATACTCTTCTTTTTAAAAGTCGACTTAAGAAACCAGATTGATAACATCAATTTTTTGTTCGGTTTCTTGGTGAGACCCCATAATCCTTCCATCGGTCACTTTCTCGGGCTCGGATCACAGTTATAAAACTATCTGTCGAGATAGACTGAGCATACCATCTGCTACCTGCTTCGCTAACGCAGCGTGTACACAATTTCCCTTTTCTCTGGGGCTATCTGTTAATAGATCCGAGACAAAACGAAGTAAACACAAGCTCTTCGGACGAAAAACCAAAGGTGACATTCAAGTATTTTTCTCGACATAGCCTGCTTAACCCCTCAAATGGCGGATAGTTCATTTTCTTCAACTCTTTGACAAGTGTCAGGAATGTGGTTTGATTTCTGCACTGTCAACTAACGAGGGGGCTTTGTGCCCACTGTCTAATGTAAAATATGGTGAAAAAAATACCAAATTGGAGTGTGTTTGCTATGTCCCCACTCTTTTCATCGTCCCCCAAAATGTATCAACTGCGACCCGAAGAGCCACAACTTTCATGGAGCAGATTAATACGATAATATAAAGCTACTCTGCAATGACTTAACTTATATCATTATGTTTTTTACAAATAACTTTTAAAACGTTACAAAATTATGATTCTTTTGCAGTTAAAGTCCTTAAAGCTCACTCTCCACTTACGCTGGTAGCTTTAAGAAATGTAGTCAAGCCCTTAATCCTCGACAAAGCCCTGATCACAAAGTCCTTTTAATGAAATGTCAAATACATTTTTAAACATCCCCCACCTGCCGAGCTTTTACTCCCTGGTTAGTGGTGGTTGAATAATCCAATTAAATTCGTGGATTAAGCAATAACTTTAAGCAGTAGGTAAGCAAAACATTGTGTAATTATATTTTCTTTTCTACTTTTTAATGATATTTACTACACCAGTTTATTTTACAATAAATTCAATATCCACCTGGAGCCGATTTTATTTTCTAATGTTTGAGATGATAATAATACACCATTATTTACAAGAATTCAATATCCACCTGGAGCAAACGGATCTTGTGAAGTTCAGCCTAAATGATTAGGGGATGAACTATCATCTCCCTGTAGCCACCTCAAAAGGAAACTGTCGTATTCGTTACAATGCTCTGTCCCCAACGAATAAACGTCTCAAGAGCTGCTTCACAACACGGTTCTTGGGATCTGTCGAACATCCAGTTTATTCCTAACAACGAAGAAAATTGACCTTTCATGTTGAAAGGCTTGATGCGCTTCATTATATTTTCTTTTCGCTACATCAATCACTCCTGTGAGGAACCATGATTGCATGATCTTTACAGTTATAGTATTGTGATGTTTATGAATTAAATTTTATTATTAAAACGGAAGTACAAGCGATAAAGTCTAGGCTTGTAGCTAAAATGGGCCTTAATTGTAATATGGAATGCTGATCACTCTAGTGGACCACAGGGAATAATCTTACTTGTGGCTGAAGTAAGTCTCTTACCATTAGACGGAAGAGCACAGAATAGTAGATCATGGATACTGACTTCATAAAAGGCCCTTTATATTTACCAATATCCTCAAACTCAATTTAACGTGTCCATATAATAGTAAAAAAATTACAAACATGTAAACTGTAAAAGGTACCTATACAAATATAATATATGTAAATGGACATAGTATAATCACGAAGGTAGGCCTTTTTTTGATAATAAAACGATTTAAGCGTTATGGTATTTTACTGTCGAAAACAATTTAGTGCAAAATTTGGGCTGTTGAAAAGATCTTAATACCCCACCCAGCATCAAAATGTGTACCATCTACATTATGGAATTGTATGATAACCAACAAATACAGTCTGAACTCTGGAGGGGGATTATTTAAAACATAAAAGTGATACGAAAAGTTTGAAGGAAGGAAATGCCAGATGACCTGGACTTTAGGGATGAAGCAATCTTGGGAAGGATGGGGTGTGAGCTATATTTAGGGGCTGTTCATTGAGGGTTGTATTATTAGTGTTTATCATTAGTCCCGTTAACAGCGGCAACCATGGAGAAGGTTAACGGAGTTTTATGGCAGATTTAATATTTCTGACAAAATAAACTTGCCTTACCGGGATACGTCTACGAGACGGTCAAACGCGATAATTCAATTTCTCTCATATTGTGGAAAATATAAATGAGAATAAA